TTGGCCAGGCAGGATGATATGTAGGACTAGGAGACAAGGGGGATTCTGGGAAGTGTAGGCAGGGAAGAGTCATCATGTGATCCTAGGAAGTGATATAGCTGGGCAGAAGCTGCCACAACTAACCATAGAGGTCTGGATGTCTGTACAGACAGGCGGAAGTGACATAGCTGGGCAGAATCAGGATATAAGCAAAGACAAATAGGAAATCTCTCTCTTCTCTGCAGAGCTGCTAAGCAGTCATCATGTAGCAGGCAAAGGAGTTGAAGGTCCAGCATTTCCCAGTAAGCCAAGACCACATGGAAATACATGGATTAATAGAAAATGGGTTAATAATTAAGATAGAGCTAGCCAATAAGAAATGCTAGTCATGGGCCAACAGCTTTATAATGTAGAGTCCCTGTGTTCATTTGGGGCTGAAGTGGTGGTGGGGCCTAGCCAGGACAAGAAAGCTCTCACTAAGATGCATGGCAGGAGTAAAGAATAAACCATGACACATATAACATTAATGACTTCGGAGTTTATCCTCACTCACCTGTGGAAATTCCAGTTTGTTTTTTAAGGCAACTCACAATAAGTACAGTGTGGACACTTTTGAGGGACTGTGGTTGCTTGAAAGAAAATGGCCCCTATGGGGGTGGCACTAATAGGGTGTGTAGCTTTGTTGGAGGAAGTGTGTTACTATGGAGCTGGGCTTTGCGATCTCCTATGCTCAAGCTATGAACAGTGTGGCACTCAGGTCACTTCCTGTTCCCTGTGGATCAAGATGCAGAAATCTTAGCTCCTTCTCCCATACCATGTCAGCATGCATACCACCATGAAGATAATGGACTAAATCTCTGAAACTGTAAGCCAGCCCAAATTAAAGTTTTCCCTTTATAAAAGTTGCCATGGTCATGGAGTTTTTTCACAGGAACAGAAACTGTAAGTGACAAAGACAAGTTGGTACCAGGGACTGGGGTATTGTTATGAAGGTCCTGACCATGTTTTTGTTAGGAGAGTTTATACTTTGGGAGTTTGGGTTAGGAAAGAGTGGAATGCTTTAAGTGATACTTAAAGGGCTGTACTAGTAGGAGCATGGAAGAGAGTAGTGGTGAGAGTAATTTGAATTGTGAGAACATCGCTCAAGAAATTTCAGAGGAGAAGAATTTTAGTATGTCACCTAGAGATTGTTCTTATTTGCCCTTGTCCAAGTTTACCTGATGCGAAAGTCAAGTTTTGGATTAATTCTGTTGGTAGAGGAAATCTCAAAACAGCCCAGTATAGACTCTGTCTGTGGTTATCAGTGTAAACTCTAATCAATATTTACAATAAAAAGGAACAAGCTGAGCAAAGAAAAACACAAAATGTAAAATCTAAGAAGAAAAGAAGCATCAGAAAGTGGAATGGAGCTAGTTCCTGTGTTCAAGGAGATAAACAGATTAAGAAATAAGATAAAAAGGAGTAGTGACCTTAGGGCAAAATGCCACTCAACTAAATTTCCAACACATGAAAAGGAATTAAAGAAAAGCTTAAAGCCAGGTGTGGTGGTATATGACTTTAATCCTAGCATTGGGAAAGCAGAAGCCTGTAGATCTCTGAGTTTGAGGCCAGCCTCATCTGCAGATCAAGATTCAGGATAGCCAAGCTTAGGAAGTGAAGGAAACCACTGAAAACAGAAAGCTGGTGAAGATGTAATTGAGTAAGAGGGCTATGTTCCAAGCCTAGTAAGCAGCAGAAATTGGCAGCTTTGGCCACAGTGTTCTGGCTTTTGAGGTCTGACAGACATAAGGGTGTACCTGAATGGAGGCATAGACAGGCCATTGGGTAGAGCTGTGAAGGTGAACCCTGGATAGCCTTGGAGACCCCAAAATGCTGGAGATACCTGCCAAGGAGAGCTGCTACCAGAGTTGATCCCACCCAAAAGAAAGAAGTGTATTGCAGTCAACAAAACTGAAAGGAATTGCAGATATGAAGAACATTTTGACATCAGATATGGAGATGCAGAGTTTGTACAGCTTGGTTTTGCTCTTGCTTTGTATTAGTATTTCCTTGCTTGCTCCCTTCCCTATGTTTTGGAATGGCAATATATATCCTATGTCATTATGTATTGAAGTGTGTGATCTGCCTTTTGATTTTGATAGTACAAGGGATTGCAAGTCTCTCAGAAAAGACTGAAATTTAGACTTTGAAGTAAGTTTGAGACTGTTAATAGACTATGGAAACTTTTCATATTGAACTGAATGCATTTTTGCATTATAATATGGCTACAAGACTATGGAGGCCAGGAGTAGAATGTGGCGATTTGAAAGAAAATGGCTCCCATAGTTAGTGGCTTTATTAGGGGTTTTGGCCTTGTTGAAGGAAGTGTGTCACTTTGGAGGTGGGCTTTGAAGTCTCCTATGCTCAAGCTATGAACAGTGTGGCACTCAGTTCACTTGCTGTTGCCTGTGGATCAAGATGTAGAATTCTCAGCTCCTTTTCCAGAACCCTGTCTGCCTACATGATTCCATGAAGATACTGGGCTAAATTTCTGAAACTGTGAGCAAGCCCAAATTAAATGTTTTCCTTTATAAGCATTGCCATGGTCAAGGTGTCTCTTTACAGCAATAGAAGCTGTAGCTAGGACAAAGAAGAAGCTGGGAAGTCCAGAGAAAAGCTGGAACAACCAGGACAACAGTGATGACATCTTAAAAGTAGGAAAAATAGCAGTCACAGATTCCAAAGTATTTCAAGTTCCCCAAGGGGCAGCATACTGCCTGACAACACTAGGTCCTCAAGCTGAGTAGCTGGTGTTTCTATAGCACCCCCAATCCACGTGTATTACCTCTTCCTTGGCACAATAAATCATCCAGGACGCATAAAAGACATAGGAAGAGGCTGAGAAAATGACTGCTAAACTCCTAAATGAGCTGGCAAGACTCCACTGATGAAAACCTCTTAATGTACAGCAAAAACCTTTGAGAAACAAAATGTCTTTCCCTGCTCTGACAATGGAGAAATTTAGAAGTCACATATGGTTCTGCTAGGTGACTTTCTAAGCTTGTTAGAGAAATGTATTATTTAAAACAGCCTAGGGCTGTGCTGCTGGCAACAGTAAAACAAGAAGGGTACTGAAAGATAGTCCTTTTAAGGCCTGGGGAAAATGTGTTAGAATAGAAATCTATACCTATCATCCCATCTTCCTTTTGCTGAAAATGTGGTCTCTGTCATTTCTGCACAAAACAGAACTATTTTGACTATTAGTAACAAATGTAGTTCATATACAATAAACTGACAAGGGAGTTTCTACCCATGTCATTTAATAATTTTAGCCTTTTTGTCCAAAAGAATTTATTTTCCTAGAATTATAAAACTAAAATAATCTAGAAAATCAACTCATTTCCCATGTGGAAATGAGGACATAGAAGAAAATCAACTCAATTCCCATGTGGAAATGAGGACATGGAAATCAATGATTATAGTGAACAACATTCACAATTTAATCATTAATGCCAACACCTCTCAAAAATGTTTCCCATACTTAAATAGGTCAAGAGTACTAGCAATATGATAGCAAAGAATAGTTGGTGAACTTAGGTATCAGCTTCTCTCCTACTAGGATCAGATTAAGGACAACTATTGGTTTCTCAAAATTTAAAGTTTTAATTGTCATTAAATTAAGACAGTGTATCATGTATGCTAGAGTGATATGCACAAGTGTTTGGGCACAAATAAAGCTTAATTTGTAAAGAAAAAAGAGGCCTCAATGGTCTCACAGGCTCTAAGGTCCAGTCATGGCTCTCACAGGCTCTAATCCAAAGCTGACTAGAAACACCTTCACCACTGCTTTGAAGAAGCTCAAAGTGTGGGTCATGGCTAGATCCAGGTAAAATGGGGAGCAAAATTGGATTTCAATGTAAAGAGCTTTAAAGTTGAAAACATAATTTGCCTTCTTTCAATTCAGAAATCACATTCTCCTGTGCTGAAAATAAAGCTTTCAGTGCTACTTTCTGTACTTTTGGAATGCCTTTGGAGTCTTGAAAATGCTTTTTTCTGCAGAAACTAGGAAGTGGTGCATAAGAGCATCAAATGATGCTTTGGTCTTCTTTCTCTAAGAGTTATTTTTAAGAATGGCAGTGGCTATGGAAGATGATAAAAGAAGATCTTACAAGTTCATAGGAGCTTAAGGTTGAATAAAACAAAAGTGTATGGTGTTCATCTCTGTTTTATCTAAGAAAACACAGCTGTATCTTATAAGCTAAAATTCAGACTCTGACAACCTAAAACATCACTAATATCCAAGCTTATATAAACAGAAAGAAATTAATAACTCTCATTTACTAAAAAATACTTTCCTTTAGTTTGCACTGAACGCTGATAAAGCTGGAGCAAAACTGTCTTTATTAGCAACTCACTTTTGTCCAGGATTAAAGACAAATGACTAAGCCTGAATCATGGTTTTTAATTAAAAATCAAACCAAACCAAAATAAACCGTTTAATGGTTTATTTACAATACAGATAGATATTTAGCAATGAAATCTTAGAAAATACTGAATTTTGTATGAAACTACAAACTAAATGTTATTTTTATTACTACTGGTATCCTGCAACACATAGCTCAACTAAGTAAAAATAATTTATTTTAACTTTTGCTAAACAATCTTGTAAGGCCATTGAAAATAAACATACTCCAACTATGTCCACATACACAAAAGGAACCAATATGTCAAAACTACAGTAAATAGTGTTACAATGTCTTTCAATTAATGTTAAGCCAACTGTAGTTCTGCAAACAAGAAAAATGTAAAATCAAAATCCACAGCATCTACTCAAACAGATTAAACCTGCTTTCTTTCTCCCCAAAAAAATTTTCAAGAAATACAACTAAATTATTTAATTACTCTAAATGAACCCAATAAGTCACTATTGTTTAATGCAAAAATAAAACCTGCCACATGCAATTAATGTCTGTTATCACTGCTTCAATTGATCTAATGTTTAGTGCACATAAAACATTCAAAAGAAGTTCTATACATCTTACAGTAGTTCAGTGGAGAAGTCCTGTCCCAGGGGTAGGTAAATCTGAAGTACAAGAAACCTCTGGATCAGTCCAACTAGAACAAGAGAGAAAAAATATGAAATGAAATTTTCAGGCCCCTAAAATGTGCACACAAACAGACACAGTCAGTGCTCCCTGCAAGCGACATAGTCCAGCACTTCAGGAGCAGGAAGGCATACAGGAGCACCATCCATGATTTATAACCCGATTATAAAGGTGAGAGTGATGACAACTGAGTCAAATTTCAACAAATGCTGTATTTTAAAGTCCCATCTGTGGCAATGGTGATATTTTTATAAAAATCAAACAAAGGGATTTTTATTCACTCTTTTGTTATGCCATAAGACAATGTGAGCATGGAACTGCACTCTACACACACATATAAAATTGAACTATGGATTCCCATCAGTGTGGTCATAAAAACATGTGGCAATTATTTTTATTCTCTGACAGGTTTTATACTCTTACTAAACAACTCAATAAAGAAGAGCAGCTCAAGAAAAACAACTCTAATTATGGCAACTACAAGTAAAGGCTCAACGAAGCAAATCTTAGTCATATGATCTTAATGGTATCTACACTTAGTTGGATGAAGGAACATAATTTCACTTATAATCCCTTTTGTTAACATGATCTTAATTAATTCTCACTAAGAAATTATAGCTTTTATTCCTTATCATTAGTTTCATATGGATAAGAAATGTTAAGAAAAAACATCTCACATGGCATTTTTGATAGCTGTAGTCTACAACTCCTTAAACAGTTGATTTTTATACTTTCTCTACATTCCCTCTAAGGTTTTGAACTTTTCATTGATCTCTCAATTTATGATGCTTTCAACAGATGTCTTAGTGAATTGGTATGGATGGATTGTAGAAGAACTTGGCGGGCAAGCCATATAGAAGATTCTGGGTTTAATTCTTGATGAAATAAAAAAATGGGAACAAAAACTCACAAGGATCATACCTCCAAAAAATGTGCAGGTTAGGAACATTTGTCTGTGTTGCATATGAAATAAAGATGTCATAACTTTGTCTATGACCTTCTAGAAATCCAAAATTAGAAACAAACAGGAGTTAAAAAAGCCTTTAAGGAAGAGCCAAGTCTGATGGTGCTTCCCTACAATCCAGCACTTAGGAAACAGAGGCAGGAAGATCAAGGTTCATCTTCTAGTTCAGAGCCTACCTAAGCTATGGCTGGAGTGTTTGCTTAGTGTGTACAATGCTGGGCCCAATTCCTAACACACACACACACACACACACACACACACACCACAACACACACCATAGTGTGTACAATGCTGGGCTTAATTCCTAGCACACACACACACACACACACACACACACACACACACACACACACACACACACACACACCCCACACACATATACACAGACATAGCATTCCATATACACAGACATAGGGCTCCAAGGAAAGCAACTGATTTAAGGTGATATGTCTTATTTATGCTAGTAATAAACTTAATAAATTTAAGCAATTTAATCACACAATAACCTTTGATCATTTTGTACAAAGACTTCTGATTTGTGGTTCCTACCGTAAGCTGTTTTATAGCATTCCTGAAAAAAGAAAAAGCTACTTCTATGTTTTATACCAACTTTTCTATAAACAAACATAATTGGCCAAAAATGTATATTAATGCTTTTCATCAAATATACATGGATGAATGTTTTTATCAAATATACAAGGATAACTTCTTTTAAAGCTTATATCAAGCTTTATCTGTGTTCAGAGAGAAATCCTAAGTTACACAAAACAGAAACGGGAGATGGAAGGCTCTACCCTAGAAAATTCTCTAGGAATGTGTTCTACCACATTTTTAGAGAGATGCAGTGTGGCAACCAGAGTTCTGACCCACAAAAGCAAAGCGAAATAGCAAAATGATGCCATCTCAAATCAACTACCATCAGTCATCCTCTCTGGTCTCTGGCACTGAGAGTACTGCCATTTCCACAAGGGCCTCAGTCGTAAACAGAGCTTGGAAAACACCAGATCAAGTCAAACCAGCCCTTTAAAAGGTCCCTAATCTATGCCACAAATCTCACTGAACCAGTATTATTTCCTTCAAGCACAAAGAGCTGCATGTAAAAGACCATTTTTAGAAATGGAAGATCTCTTTCCTCAACAAAACTGTCATTCAACATTCTCACACACCAAGGCCCTTCTTTCCAAAAGCCTTTCAGTGTGATGATACCACAAGGTGATGATATGACAAAGATAAGAGTGTTTTAATAACATTTAGCAAGCTAATTCCATATGGCAGTAATGCTAAATAAACTCCATTTCAGTATATATTTCCCTGGCCTGGGAAATTTAAACTGGCTCTTCATGTCTGCACTGTATTTAAAATAACTTTAATTAATACTGAATATAGGCCTCATTTTTTAAAAAAATGGCCATCAAATACATAAAATATATAGAAATTCCTTGTTAAAGGGATATAGTCCCCATTTCTTTTTCCTTTTAAATACTTAAAGACATACTCAACTTGTAAAATACTAGTTTTAAGCAGTGTTCTTAGAGTTGTTTCATTGGAACAAATGACAGATTGCATGCCTCACATACATTTTATAAGGACTGCATCATCCAAGAAATGGGATGAGGACACAGACAATCATTCCTCCTCACCACCCAGAAATCTCAGGATGAATCACAGCCTTAGCATATCCTTAATTTCTTTTTCATCCCTAAAACTAGGCTAATAATTTCCATCTGTATATCAAAGAATCATCTGTATGAATTAGCATTATCATTTAACAAAGATTATTGATCAACTGATCACATGCTGTGCACAAGACTTAAAGTTTTTTTAGTAAATAAGACTGTCATAATCTATACCCTCCTGGAATGTACAATATGGTTTCACAAAAGAGGAGGTCAAAGTTCTATGAGAGCATTTAACTTGAGGGGAAGGAGATGATCAGTACAGGCAGTACTGAGGAAATATCGAAGGAACTAAGCTTGGGACAAAAAGCAGGGATTGACTGGGAGCTGGGCAGTGGTATAGGAGAGAGGAACAGAATGTAGGAGGATTACTCCATCTTATGATGGAGGTAGGATGTCCATGGGGAAGGAAGGGTATAACAGCTGAAAGGAACCTTAAAATGCTCAGTCGGCTGGTATATGACACTGAAGAGGGAAAAGAACAGATCTGAAACTCAGTCATATGGAGCCTTAAAAGCCATGTGAAAGAGAGAGGCCAACCTAAAATCAGTGGGAAGCCAATCATTCATGCATGTGTTTGATGCAGATTAACTTGATTGTGTATCAGGGAAAACAAGACAAACTAAACAGTTTCTATTAATTGAATTGGCTTTCTGAAAATGGTTGGAAAAACAGTGAAACAACTAACAAATACACACATGTTCAGTGCTGTTCACAGTATGAGAGGAGGGCAGGAGATGGGCCAAAGGGCTGAAAAACAGGACTATGAAGTCCAGGTGTAACTTAAGTACATGTCAGGTGGGTCACATTCCAAGGTGGCACCTTAGTAAAGGCTGGGAAGGAGGAAGAGTGTGCTGGGTGCCAAAACAGCAATGGCCTAGAACGGGTAGGATGCAGGCCAGAGGAAGAGTAATAAGATAGAAAGCCAGTGAGTTAAGAGGGAATCAGACAGTCACATTCCCATACAGAAATTATTTTTACTTTACAAAATGGGACATTTTTCAAGAGAAGGTAACATGTTTTACATATCACTTATAATTGAAGAGGTCTACTCTGGCTGCTAATTTGATAACAGACTATAGGGAGGCCCAACAGAAAGTAACTGCAATAATCCAGGCCTGAGAGAAGTGTGAGCAGTACTGCTGAGTAAGAAGCAGGCAAACTTTCAATCTCTTTCCCAGTACCACTGATATCTTCTTAATGGATTCAGAAAATAAAGAAAAATAGAAACAAGAATTTTGGTCTCATCAATTGAAAAGACAATGTTGTCTGCCTAGCAAGTTAAAGCCAGGGATTAAAAGAATCACAAGCAGCCTTGGCCAGGAGCTGGGTTTTACACACACTACACATAGGTGGTCCTGATTTGCAAGATTGAAGTAAGACAGAAATGGTATTAAAATCTATGATCCTGAAGCTGATAACCAGGGAAAACATGTAGCCATAGGGCTAAACATAAAGACTAGCATCACTGCAGCATCCAGGTGGCAAAAGGAGAAGAGGAAAAACTAACAACAACCTAGAACATGTTGTTGGATTAAGTACACAGTTGGATGAAGATGGACATTGGAGATATCCACGGAGATAAGTGAAAGATGTGTATCAAGGAGGTGCTGGTGCTCTCAGATGCTCCCAAAGGTGAAGATGAGAACTGAGAACCCCTATAGGCTCAGGAATACAGAGAACTACTCACTCTGATAAGAGCACTTCATAGAATGGTGAGATCAAAGACACTTAAGGGTTTTAAATATAGCAAGACATAATTTAAAAAGAATAGCAAAGCAGCAGTAAGGAGACCTGGGGGAACAACAAGAAGCCATCCTCATCTTTTAGAACAGCTGAACTCAGGCTTCAGGGATGCAGATGGCCACAGACACACACTATTTGGTTCAGATGACTCAGCAGGGAAACCAATGACTTTGAATGTGACTCTTGAATACAAAATCCCTACTGGATATGTATGTATGGCAGTGATGCTTCTCATACAGGCAACGCCATACAACACCATCCAAGCTGAAGGATGGCAGAGATTTATCTAATTGGTAAATGATAGACTAAAGTGTCATTACCAAAGGCAGATGGTTACAGTTAGAAATTAGAACAGAATTGATCTCATTGTGACACATTTAACAAACTTATCTGAACATCAACTGTAAATCATCTCTGAGATAGGGATTACAAAGATGATGATTAACAAATCCCCTGAGAAGTATACAGTGTGATAATGAGTGTCACATGCTCCATCATTTGATGGGTGTTTTTTACCTAGCAGGCTCATTGGTCTGGGTTCAATTCCTAGCAACATAAATAAATCATATTAGAAAGAATATGTATTGGGTGCCTTCCATGCACCAGACTATGAAAAGACGTGCTGTTTGTACCTGATTTTTATGTTTAATTTTCTTTGTAAACTGTACAGATTCTAGGCTTTATGTACCATTTCAAGCACTATGTAACACATATCCAACTAGGAACTCTGAGAAACTTTACTTATTGCAGCAAATTAATTACAACCTTTTAACAATAATTAGTCTCTTTCAAGGTTAATTTCTTGTATTAGGTTATAAAGAAACAACAAAAACCACAGGGTGATGGGGGAATGCCCTTCTGTATATATGTTTCTTTTATTGGCTGAGGAATAAAACACTGTTTGGCTAGTAGCCAGGCAGGAAGGATAGGCAGGGCTACCAGACCAGAAGAAGGCTGGGGAGAAGAAGGCAGAGAGAGATACCATGTAGAGACTGGGAAGATAGGACATGCCAGGCATTCTCTGGTAAGATAAGGCCATGTAGAAATACACAGATTAGTAATTATGGGTTAATAATTAAGAGAGCTAGCCAATAAGAAGCCCTATCCACTGGTCAACAGTTTAATAATTAATATGTCTCTGTGTGCTTATTTGGGGCTGAAGGGCGGCAGGACCTGGCGGGAAAGAAAACTCTAGCTACAAATGAGTCAGATGGCTCAGCAGCTAATGCATTTGCTTGCCAAGCTGACCTGAGTTCATTCCCAGAACCCATATGACAAGAGAGAACTGTCTCCCACAAGTTATCTTCTGACCCATATGCACACCATGGTGCATGCATACGTAATTTGTAATAACAAATTAAAAACAACTGATTTATTATTTTAGGATTCATCAAGTACAATTTAACTCAGAAAGATTACTGTGTAGGAACAGTCAAAAATATTTAATTTCATTATGAAACTTTCCTCATAAGTGTCTAATATAGTTAGAAATACAAATGAACTATCGAATGTCAAGTTTGCATAAAGTATGTATTAACTCTTAAAATAGGAATACATAATGATAATTGAACTTAATTTAGATGTTAATTGAAAGCCGATTTTCCTCTATTCAAGGCATGCTTTTCAATTTCAGTTTAAACATAAGAACCTCATTCAGAAGGTCATTTTATACAATTAAAAATAACTACAAACTTTGTTATCCAAACATCCAAAGAGTGCATCTGAACAGCATTAATGCCAGGGAGACCAGAAAAAATGTTTCATTTGTTACACTGCTTCACATGCCACGGGAAAGCTAGATTAATTTTTAATTGCAGGGCATTGTGTAAGAAACATATTAGAAGATTCTTCTGTTTCTTCTAATTAAAAGCCATCATTGCTACATTTAAAGAGGTAATTATAACACATTAAACCCCGTTTCTGAGAAAACTAAGGAAAAAAAATCTGAATAACAGTAGAAAAAGGGAGATAGGGAGACTGTATTTAGTCACTTTGGTAAAGGAGGAATCTTTCTCAGAGCCAAATGAGAAGGCTGCCAGGACTGGCTGATACCATCAATATCATGACTGGTATTGATGCACAGGGCACTAAAAGGAAGTCGGATTGTCTTTACAAGCCAAACAATAAGGGCAAAAAAGAGTAGCCAGCTTCTAACAGCCAAGTTCCTGGAAAGTATCTGTTTCATAAAGTCAATATCCCAAAACAGAAGAACTGTGTCTCTCATAAGGAAAAAAAAAAAAAAAAACAAAACTGTAATTTCAGATATGCTTGCCTGACTTACTTTAGTTCACTTTACTTACAAACACAAATGTATATGAAAGTGAAAAAGAACACCAAAACATGCAATCAATCACATACCCAACTAGGAACTATGAGGAAGCCAAATTTCCTTGTGGCAGCAAATTAATTTTAAAACTTTAACAATAATTATCCATTTTCTTTTAAGGCTGATTTCTTAGTTTATAAAGAAACTCTGAGAAAACACTTTAAATTAAATCATCTTCCATCCCTAATTTGCATGTCTTGATTTACTTCTTAGAAATTTAAAATGTCACTTAGTACTTGAAATGGTACATAAAGCCTAAAATCTGTACAGTTTACAAAGGAAATTAAAATTAGAAATCAGGTACCAATAGCTGTCCACAGTGCCTGGTGCATGGAAGGTACTCAATACATGCTCTTTTTAATATGTTTTATTTATGTAGCTAGGGATTGAAGCCAGGCCTGTAAGCCTGCTAGGTAATGTTCTATCACTCAGCCTTATCTGCAATCCCCTAATAAATATTCTCAATGAATGAAGACAAAGTAAAGGACAAGTACAAAAAAAGAACTACCAATTTATTTCTACAAAAGAACAGAAATATATATTTAACCAATAAGAGACAGTGAAAAATCTGACAATATTTATACATTACTCAAATTAATCACTTTATTGAAAGTTTAGTCTGGTGACAAAGCCTTAAATTCCAACCTCATATCCACCAACAACTGCTCTTCTGGACCACATCTCTAAGTCACCTTGTAAGGTTCTGTCTGCTTTAAAATGCCACGGTTAATTTTCACAATGGAACCAATTACTGCAGCTATTTGCTAATGAATATATCTATACTTGTTAGATATTTTTCCTAAAGATTTATTAATTACTGTTACTAATAATGTTTTATGTATTTTTTAAATCTTTTTTTGTTCTTTAAAAAACTGAAGTTCTTGTAATTTATGAATTCTTGAACTCCTGTCAAAACTTTACCTTAACTACCTAATTTTCTAATAAGGTATTTATTAGAAATGTGTTTATGCTCACCTGTAAAGGAGCACTGTGGAAAATCCCTCATACAAACTTAGTGCTCAACAGATACTATTATAATAAGTGACTACTAAAATAATCTTCTAGGATTTAAAATAGTTCTAAATTTAAAGATAGTGAGGAAGGATATTTTTCTACATACAGTTATTTTCTACATTAAAAAGATCACATGACTTCACACCAGCAGATGCCACAGAAGTCCTATTAATATGCCTGCTTCTAAGACACAAAATGTAATTCTATCAAATGTTGATTTCCAGTATTAGAAGTTTTACTCACGGATTTGCTTATTCTCCTTTGGTAATTGAATTCTGTTGGTCTGGCTGCTGCCTTCCAGGATAAATACAAAACTTTTAACTTCTTTATCAAACTCCTATGGGACAAAATGAAAATAGCAGTAATTGAAGCATATTTTATTTGCCTTCTTTTGTAAAAGTTGGAACTGCAAATTCCCAGGAAAAAGTCTTTTTGTTGTTGTTGTTGTTAAACAAGACAAAAAAGTAGCCTCAAACCTTAATGAGGCTTTCATCCTGAGACTTGCTGGGAATGGAACACAAAATCACACTAGCCATGTGGCTAATTTCTTATTATAAGAAAACATGTTTCCTCCAAATGAACAAAAGTTCTCTGACTTCAGGGATTCCAAAGCCACTAATGGCTCTGGGTGTAGCTTCTTCTTGCTACATGTAGGCATCCCCACCTAGGTGCACAGCTGATCACCAACCCCTGTACAGCAGAAGAAAGTATCTAACACCTGCTGAGTTCACACTAGAAGTTCTTTGCTTTCAGGCCGTACCTCAAATGGAATTAATTATGTATTATTTCATATCTGGTGTGACTTTGAAAACTGTATATATATATATATAATACAGAAATATATATATTTAAATATATATACACATTTAAAATCAATTTGAACTAAATGTAACAATTAACACTACCTAAGAAGTTAAGCTAAGACACTGGAGAGATGGCTAAGCAGATAAGAGCACTTGTTACTCTTCTAAAAGATCCAAGTTCAGTTCCTAGCACCCATGCTGGACAGCTCACAACTATCTATGTCTCCATACCAGGGTATAAGATGCTGTCCGCTTGCCTCTATGGGCACCCAGCATATGGCATATACTCACACAAACACATCCATAAACATAAAAATAAATCTCTTTTTAATAAATGAGACCTTTATAATAAGTAAGTTCATGTAATGTCCACTGTAATAGCATCCACTGTGTATTTATGAAGAACATACATGTACCAAGTATATTATTTATTTATGCACTCATTCAACAGCTTACTAAAACCTTCAACACAGTCACAAAGCACTTATATACACTGTTCCCTACCCAGCAATTTAAATTTAATCTTTTAATTTTAATACCAACAACATTCTTGGTTTCTTAACAATGCTAAGCTCTCTCCTGATACAGGGATTCTGTTCACACTACTCCCTTTACTTGGCTCTTCTGTGTAGCAGCCTCACTTGATGCCTGGATGACACTTAACACTTGCATTAGTTACTCTGGGCAGCTGTGATGAAATATTCAACATAAACAACTGAAAGCAAAACAATACCAATTTTAGGGTCAGGATTTCAAATATGTCTATCCACAGTTCCTTGATCCCATGAGCCTAGGCAAAATATCATAGTGATGGCAGCCTTGGTGGAAAAGCTTCTTTATGGCAGATAGGAAGCAGTGTAAGGAACAGAAACCTGGGGCCAAGAAGAGCCTTCAAATGCCAAGTCTCAGTGACTCACTTCCTATATCTTGACCCCACCTCCCAAAGTTTCTACAACCTCTCAAAATAGTACCACCTGTGGGGGTACATTTTATATTCAAACCTTAACAGAACTCAATGTCATTTACTTGGGGAAGCCTCTCCTGACTTCTCTGGCACATGTTCTCTGAGTACCATTTCTCTTTCATTCATAACAAGAAATGCACAATTTTTGTCCTTGTCTTTCCATAGGTCAATATTCTCACCTGTCAGAGGGGCATGTAGCTATCTGTCTCAAAGTTATTTACATTATATAGCATTGTGTAATGTGTCTAATGTTACCCTTAGCAAATACTAAGCACTTAACAGTAGTTTTAAGTTTCATCTACAGATATTCTTATTCTTCTCGTGAAGGCATTCATCTCGATGGAGACAAGCTTTTAGGTATGGTGACAGCAAAGAAAATTGGTTTCTACATGATGGCTCCTGCTTTCTCTGGGAAGTGGGTGTGTCAGCTTCTGGTAAGTCAGGAGGGCATGCCCTGGATGTGGGCAGGAGCAAGGACCAGGCATTTTGGTGGTTGGAAACTGAAGATGACAAGAAAGTATCATTTGGATACTGACAAGAACACAACAGGATGGGGTCAGATTTATGTGTTATCAATCTTGAAATTAAAGGAAGTTTCTCCAAAAATATTGAGGAGCCCAGGTACAGGCAAAGGAAAGACAGGGATGAGGCAAGGGCTGGCTAAGCAAGCATTGTGATAAGCTAAAGAACAAAGGCTTTCAAGGTCCTTCCTGGAAAGGGACTGAAATGACACTTTAGTTTCTGCACTGCAAAGAAAGAGGTAAGAACTCAGGGAAAATCAGTAAAACTAACCACAAGGGAGAAACAGAAAAGTCTATGACCTGAAGGTCCCAATCAGACTGAAGAACAAACAGTGGGAGGATCTGAGCAAGTGACCTTAAGAATCGAAGATCGAGGTCATCGAAAAATGTCTCTGTGTCTCACTTGTTAATTTCAGAGGTCCTGCTGTTTGTGGTGATGAGGTCAAGGATGTGATAGTGATAGTAAGGCCACAGCAGAATCAGATGTCATTAAAGATGATGAAATCAAGAAACCCAGAGGCCTGGGGTTATCAAAGTCACCTAAAATGATAAAGCAGGACTCAAAGTACACATAGCAGTTATGTACCATGTGGCAGTCTTAACAAACTGAGAAGTGGTGTCTGGTGGTGGTTGGGGGGGGCTGCTTTTGATGGTAAAAGAATAAGGAAACCAGTTCTGAAGTTTAATGGAGCCCATTTTTCTATAACCTTCCCACACATCCCTTCCAGGATTCCACACTTCTAACACTTACTTTCCAAATCACAGATGGACTGCCAAAGATCTTCCATTTTGCTCCAGGATTTTTCCCCTGAGCACTAAAGATTTCAACAAATGCACCCCCCTAGAAAATAAAACAAGGAATTCACAGTGAAATACAATGCTATGGGAGAAATTTTATTTACCACAGAATTTAAAACCAGTGTTCTAGACATCTGTCAGTTAAACAGTCAGATCTTGGAAAAACATTATCCCTGTTATTATGCCTGTTTTATACTTTGGCTGTATATAAGCCACAACCATTGGATTTGGATCACCTTAGGTTACTAAGGAACTCACCTTTAAAAATATGATAAACATCAATTGTGCCATAGAAATATTACAGAAGGGGCTCATTGACTTGACATGTATAGATCAGGTCCTCAAAGCATTCTAAAAAGACCAGACTAAAGGGTTTAAACACAATTGTAAACTAAGCTAATAAATCTTATCATTATATATGAACATAAACTTAGTAGTCACACTGATTAGTGCTTCAATACCTTCTTTTTAATTTTCTGAATTTGAAGTTATTTAATGTCTTGATTTTTCCATCTGTCAAATAAGTTGTTGCATCATGCAGGCTATCAAACATAAATCATCAAGGACAATACTTGGCATGCAGCAAGGGCTTAATAGTGCCATTAAAAGCTATTCAATAAAGAGGGAAAATAGCTTAGACTTTCATAAAAAGACCCAAGAAGGATTGGGGTATATGTGGAAGGCAGTTCTTACTGAACATCTCTACAGTATCTTATAACAAATAATTTGGAGACATACAGTAAGAACAAAAGGAAAATTTTCTATAGATTGTTACCTACTGTAAACTGAAGATCAGAATCACACTAATAGGAATGCTAACGTTATTACTAAATAAAAACTCTGCAAAGAAAATGGGGGAATTAAATTAATATCTCCAAGGAAGAATTTGTTGCAAAATTTGAGAAGCTGAGATGAAGACTAAGTATGATTTGAATTACACGAAGCACATAAACTGTTTGGTTTTTACAAAAACCTGTAGTTTTCCTAAAAACTTACTGGCATTTCCCTAAAGCATGTTTTGCTTCTGACATGTAGAACATTTCTTCTTTCCTATTATGTGCAAATTTGTACATGCTACTGATTCTCAGGGCAGGTCATTTTGTATGAATTGTAAGTTTGAGGCCACTGGGTTTTAAAAAGAAATCCCTGAACCTCAGTGAAATAGTAAATCTTTTCTCCCCAGTTCTTTTCCTGTGTTTTCCAAATTGCCCACAGTGGGCATCTGTTATTTCATAACATTATACTTTATCTACATGCTGAGATTAAACTAAGTTTATTCTAATACATAGAACAAATTTCTAAAAACTGGACAAAAGAAAAGCACAAAGTGCTTTAAGGACAAGTAGTGTTTGGCCAAAAGGATGAAGCCATAAAGAGGTGGACCCTGGGGGTCAGGGTACCAGCACTCTGACAATATTCCTAATAGCAAAATGAAGATGCTATATAAACCGGTAATTTCAAGATGAAGACAGGAGATCGGGGACAGAAAGCCAGTGAGCTGAGGAAGGGATCCCATCCATGGAGCAAGGTGTCTGAGGAACACTGAGAAACAGTGTGTTCCAAATGTAATCCTTGGATCAGACTTGCTTGGGGGTTGCTTTAAAACTACACAGGCTAAGCCCATCCACATTTTTTATTCTCTCAATCTAGAAGGAGGGTCAGGAAATCTGTTTTTTTTTTTTTGTTGTTGTTGTTGTTGTTAGTATTCCCCACTGATCTTCATGTACCCCAATGCAGGAGAGTAATAGGAAAAAGAAAAACAGCACACAGTCCAAGTGCTTACTTTAATCCTGGGCTTAAAGTAATCCAACCATTAACTTTTCTAAATAGCTTAGGATACCAGAGGGGATCAGGGTCC